GACCATAGTAGTAAGCGGATTTAGACTGTATAGTGAGTGGATAAGGAGGTTAGCTGTGAGCGATTTAGACTGTATAGTGAGCGGATAAGGAGGTTAGTTGTGAGCGATTTAGACTGTATAGTGAGCGGATAAGGAGGTTAGCTGTAAGCGGATTAAGGCTGTTTGGTGATCGGTTTAGACTTTCATGCAGTAAACGATTTAAGACTATGCAGCGAGAGGCTTACAACTAGTCTTGACCGTATATAGGCTGTTTGATGAACGGTTTAGAAGTCTAGTGTTGAGCGATTTGACCAGCATAGTGAGCGATTTAGACAGTGTAGTGACCGGATAAGGATCATAGTGGTAAGCGAACAAGTTCATGAAGTGAGCGGATTTGAGTGATATTTACTTCAAGCTTAAGCAATTTATAGTGTGAGGTGCGATTTAAGTACATAATTTGAGCTAATTAAGGGATATTTCACCTAGGCTTTGAGCGATTTAGAACATAATATTGAGCGACTTAAGCTTAGTTTGGTGAGTGATTTAGAGCTTAAGTTGAGTGTTTTAAGCAGTCTTGTTTGGTTTAGCTCAAGTTGTGAGTGGTTTATTCATACTGCTTTAAGTGATTTAGAGATAGGTCTTGAGCGGAGTTAACCGGTTTTGTTCTTCCTCTTGAGCTATTTAGTGTCTTCATCGCACACTGTTTTGAGTGACTTAAGTTTAGTCTTGAGCAGTTTTTCCAGAAATTGTGTGATTTGTGAATTCTTTTTGAGTGATTGTGTAATATTTTTTTTGTGTATTTCTTTGATCAAATTCTTGAACTGCATAGATTCTTTATTTGATCAATCTTGATCTTCTTAATGGCATATTTTCTTCAGAAAGAGAATAAGGAGTTGAAAGAGAGAATTTCAAAGCTGGAAAAAAGCATTGAGGATCATTGAGAAAAATATTTTAATATGTTCGATAAAAACTTTGCTGATAAAGAATTTATCAAGGAGCTACAAAGTGAAAATAAAATCTTGAGAGAAAATTCTGAAAAGATTTTATCCAATAAGACTTGCGAATTTGAGAGAATTTTGAATAAAGTAAGGACATAATGTGAAGAAGAATTGAAGATTTGGGTTGATGCGAATAAGAAGTTATTCAACAAACTTCAAGATTTGCAAAAAGTGAAGAATTGTTATGAGAAAGTTAATACAGAGACAAATGACTTAACTGAAAAATTTCATAAGTTTGAGAGTGATCTAATTGAGTTAAGAAAATTACTGAGTGAAGAGAAAGAGAAGGTTATAAAAGTTGAGAATAGTATGAATGTTGAGAGGAAGAAATTTGAGAAAGAGAAGAAGAGGGTGATTGAACTAGAAAGAAAATTTGAAGCTGAATGTGTATCTTATGAGAATAAGATAAACTCTCTTGAGCTGAATGCAAAGATGCTGTTAAAGCAAATATCGGATTTTGAGCAGCTGATCATCTTGGAACGTGCCAAGAATGATAAAGAGAAGAAAGACATTACAGAAGAGTGTCAGAGCCAAATACAGAAATTATCTAAAAGCATTGCTCTAAAGCAGAAGGCTTTAGATGAAGATATAAAGCAATTTTCTCTTGATAAAAGGAATACTATAAAGAAACATACAACTATTGCTAAAGAGCTTGCTAATAAGAAAAAGTGGTTTGATATCGCTTCTGAGAATGAAAAGAGCAGCTCAGATGAAGAGAAAAGAGAGTTAATAAATCAGAAGAGAAAGTTTGAAATGCTTCAAAAGGATTTAGAAGGTAAACTCCTGGATACTACAAGCAAATTGTATGATCTGAAGACAGACCTTGAAACTGAGCTGAAGATGAGAATTGAACTTAAAATTAAGTTTGATTTAGTTACTGTTGAAAGAGACCAGCTTTTACAGAAAGTCAAAGACTTTTTTTGTACACAAAGCTCAATTGGTTCTCCATCATAGTGTAAAACTAGCTTCTATGACTGTTCCAAATCGAACAGTTATTCAAGCAGTCCTAAATCAACTGTTTCTAAGAACTATTCTCGTTCTTTTAATCAATATTATCAAGGGTATGTTATCGGATCACCCAATAAATCCTCTAAGACTAAAATCATTTGGGTTAATAAAGTTGATTATGTTTCATCTCATACATCTGTTATTACTAACTCTATTCTTCTTTGCATTGTGAGATCCACTAATGATCTGATCAATCTCAGCAAGAGAAGAATTATGTGCTCAACATGCAAAACCAATGATTTTATCAATAAGAAAAGGTTCAATACGTGGCATGGAGATGACAGTTATCAGAACAATCGGAAAGGTAAGAACATGTATGATTATAATAACTGGTATGGATCATATTATGTATATAATCATCCTGTTAATAGTGCTGAAAAGAAAATATCTAATAGAAATAAATGGTTTGGAAGTTACAACATACCCCAGCCTGATTCTAACAAAATAGGACCCAAATTCATTTGGGTACAAAAATCTATTTAATCTGGTTTTGCAGGTGTGTCAATCTTGTGCTGATCAGAATATCATATCAGTGATACATTAATGCAGGGGGAGTTGTAATCTGTTCTGAACAAGGCTTCTGAACAATTCAGTTCAGGACTCGTGCTTTACCGAGTGTGGTTCCTAAACACTCAGTTTAGGAACCGTGCTTAAAATGTTTTCTTTATTTTTAATTTTTAAGCTTAACTGAAACATTTCTATAATCTACTTTCTAGGGGGAGTCTCTAAAAGTTTTAAATAAATGTTTTCGAAAAGTAAATAATTTTTTTTGGAAACGAGCACTTTTTCTGAACAGGTATTTCCTGAGATTTTACTTGTGTAATTTCTCATCGTACATAATTCCAATACCTGTTTCAGCTATTCTTCAAACTGTTATTATCACGTCTCTTATAATAATATCTTTTTCGGTGATCATACGCTCGTTTGTATTCAAAGGTTGATTTTTCTGGGTTTTTTTTTTACCTTAATTGATATATACTTCATTTTTTTTATTCATAATCTGTAAACTTGTTCTTACAGATCTTCATTTATTTCTTTCGCATATCGAATAATCTGATTTTGTGTATCACTCTTTTATTGATTGTGCTTCAAAGTTACACTTTGATCAATTTTATATCTTATCATTGTACTTCATTGCAATAATATTCTTGATCAATCATTGTGATCAACTGAGCATATTGTAATTTTAGGAGGGACTGAGTGCTTACCAGAAATACCTCAATGGAATGTCAGAACCGACAAACCTACCCATGAGGACAACCATATCTGAGTGAGCTTTAAATACAAAAATGGTTTGTTTGCTGAGCTTAAAATGAAAAATGAGAGGGGTAGTTGTTGTGAGCCAAAAGAATTGATGAGAGTTGTGTCAGGATTAAAAGAATACGAGAATCTTGTTCCAAACTTCTAAAATCCGGGCATACCACATAATCTATTAGTTCTTAATTCTTTCGAGACTAATATTGAAAAAGACAAAACCCAAGCCAATTCTTGTCACAACCCCACCAGCTACTCATTTATCTCTGAACAGATAAGTGTTTCAATAACACTTGGGGCACGCAGCTCACAATCTATCAATTTCTCATTCGGAGAAATTTGATATTGAATCAGAAGGATATATGTCCCCCCCTTCAAGTCTTCTTGATCACTAATTGAGTCTGGTAAATTTGTGTACAATGTCTCAATTGGGTTATATGATGTTAGCGGATCTTTACCCGGAGTAGAGCATAAACCTAGATACGTAATAGTGAAGTTTGACCAAGATTGGATGCATTGACTCTCTCTCTTCTCCTACATGTTCTTAATAGGTAACATTTTCTGCCATTGATGTTCTTGAAGGATTCATGAAGATTGATTAAATTGGGACTTATACAGTCCAAATCGGTCCCTTTAAAACTGGGTCAGTCGATCCCTGTCTTGGTTTTTAAAACGAAACATTTTTTGCACAAAAATGTTACACATGTTTTTGTAATTACGATTTTGGAAGTTTAGTATTAAAATACACTTTAAATAATACATTTAAGTATGTAATTTTTTTAAAAGAAAACTTGAAAATCTTGTATTACAATTCAGAAAATTAAATTTTCATTAAAAGTTGATCATATAAATAATTGGTCTTGTTCCGGCCACGAACCGAACCATAAAATTCTATAAAATGTGAAACTGGTACCGTTCGTCAGACTATAATCGGTCATTTGTCGATCACAGATGGGATGGTCCCAATTTGACCATCCCCACTTCCCCAATGTCAAATGGAGATAGCCAAAAATCGGTCCCAGACCCGGCCCAAATCGTCCCCTGTCGCAAACACCCCGTAACCAGTCCTGGTCCCGACCAAAAAGAGAGAACCGTTAAGGTACATTGCAACGGGTTATGAGAAGTTGAGAACCAGTCTCAGACCCGGGCCTGACGCAAACATGTCCTACGTGTTTTTTTTTTAAATTCGATTTTTACATATTCTTTTGAAGTTTTTTAAAGAATACAAAGATGTTGTTCTAATACACTTGAAAAAATGTAATTGAGTCAATTAAATACATTTAAAAAAATACATTTTTTTGCTAAAAATATAAGTCGAAATCATGTATTATAACAAGAATTGTGAACGTTTGTGAGTTAGTATATTCTCCCATAAATCATATGACTTATATATAGTGAATAAAGGGTAAATGAGAGAAAACAATGATAAAAGATGGGAAAAAACGGTCATATGGACGTTAGGTATCAATAATATTTTTGAAAAATCGGGACAGACCCATAACTGGTGCTGGATCAAGCCTACTTTTTTGACGAAAATTGTAACTGGTCCTAGACCACCAATCCCAATCAATCCCGGACCAGGCTGGTCCAAAATCGGCCCCGATCCCGGTCCTCCGCTGGTTCTGGACTGGGCTGGGCCCAATTGGCTATCTCTAAGTCAATTGTCAAATAAAAACAACCGCGGGCTTGGATATCTACTATTGGGCCTTTGGCCCAATTATATAATCCTGAATTTAGTGTTTAGGACTTTAGGTCCAGAAGAGCTTCTACCATTTGCAGTTTGAGAGAGAGAGGGAGAGAGAGAGAGAGTTGCAGAGCTGTAGAATTGTTCATCAATGGCAGCACGTGGAGGAGAAGGGCAAAGAAGAGGAGGGGGAAGACCTCTTCCTCCATCTGCAAGAGGACCTCCTGGTCCTCCTCTTCATGGTAAACCTGGACCCCGATTTGAACCAGTTGATCGCGAAAAGGTTAGGTTTTGCTTTCGTTTTTATTCCTATCTCTTCATATCGACTTTTCTGTTGTGTTTTAGTGTGTATGAGGTTTTAATTGTTTAGTGGTGATGCGTATGAGAATACTGGTTGTTTGTAGTTTTTCTAGGGTTTGGAATCATGTGATATTTCTGCGGATGTTTATTGTTTATGAGTTTGCATTGTATTTTGTGCGGAATTCGTTATTTTCTGTTTTCTCAGCTTATTCGGGGTTTATACATATCTGTTTGGATAAGTTTGCGACAAGTTTATTACTCAGAGCATCTCCAACTCGACATCAAATTCCATTTTTACACCATGTTCACACTATTTCACTCCAACCAACATCATTTCTTACACCATTTTTGGTGTTGGGGAATAGTATAACACCAAATTTGGTGGTGTGTTATTCATTTACACCAATTTGGTGTCGAGCTTGCAAAATGGGCTTCAATTTTGATATTTATGGCATTTTAGTTTATTTGATACCAAGGAGAAGTTATATTTTGCTCATTATTTCACAAATTGAATGAGTTTCCCAACATCGTGAAAGTAGGGGTGCCCCTTTGGTAGCTTGATAATTGCAATATTTGTCTGTGGATGGTGATCAACCAACGTAAGCACCCTCTCAAAATGCAAATATGGAGGAATCTTTATTGATGATAATGAATGATTCATAAAGAACACAACGAACAGATGGATAGTTTTGGCTTCAATTCAGTCATTAAATGAAATTTTGCACCTTTCATGGGATGTCCTAGAGTAAACGTTGTTGCAATTTTCATGAGTGGAGAGAGTTTGTTATTTTGAGCAGTAGCTCCTGGAGTTTCAGTCATTTTACACAACTCGAGACTCTTGTTTTGTATTTTGTTTGGCAGAAGGACTTGGATTTCAGGAGGGAGGCTGGATGTGTAATACTTTTCCTGTACATGATTGTATAATTGGGAGTCTTAGAGGCTGTTTCAGAACTGTGTTAGAACAAATTTCTTAACTGTTGTACTTGAACTTGTTCTTATGCTTATTTTTATTGAGCTTGAATTGAGAATGTGAAGAGTATAAATTTGATCCTGTTAGCCAGGTAAGCTGAAATCAGTTATTTTGACGAGTTAGGGAGGAAGCTATATTTGAGCTCACGGGCCAAATATATGCAAGTCAAGCATCTGATCAGCTTCTCTCTTAAATTTTCTTCTAGTTGTTAGCTCTTGGTTTGAAATCATATATTAGTATTTCTTGTGTAGTTGTGAGGTTATACTTTCTGAGAGGAAAAAATTTGTTGAAGACAAGAGGCAAGTAGGAAGGAGAGTCCTATTAAAGGACAAGAATATACTATGCGGCTAATGAATCATGTTATGTTGTTAATAGGTCCTAGTTAGAGCACAAGAGATTATGAAGAGGCGAACACCCCTAGGGTTATAGGGCATCTTTCCATTTTTTTAATGTGGTACTAGCAAAGGGGAATGCACAATTAAGGCAATGTTCTACAGGTTCCCTGCTTAAGTGTCCCCCACTGTTTTAATTAGTAAAACCAACTTAATTAGCCTCCTAGCCATTAAGTCTCCCCATCCCTTCAGTTAGCAACTGATTGCTGAGTTAAGTATTTCAAGAAATTTAGTGGGGATTATTCCTCTTCTCTCAACTAGGAGTTCACCTTCCCAATCCATTCTAAGTGATCTATTAATGGTGCAACAAGATCAATCATATATTCTGAAGGAAAATATATGGCAGGGCGGGAATGAAACAAACAAACTAAAAGAAGGACATACTGTGATTTGTATGTATAAGTTTTAGAGGTATAAATCTAGTTAACAATGAGGGAATGTTTAGTCCTATTTTCTAGTTGCTGTTCAACATCTAACTATAAACATATTGAAGGATCTGATTATTCTGCACTCCTAACAATTGCATGTTTTTGGATTATTCAAAATCTTCATCTTTAGAATTCTGATGCTTCTATTTTAGATTAGGGTCGAAGAAAATATTTTAATTTTGTCATTGCTCACATATTACTGTGACATTTCATTGCAATATTCTTTTGTTTTACTGATAAAGTCCTTTCTTTGACATGCAGACTTGTCCATTGCTACTTCGAGTTTTTACTAAGGTAAGACTACTGTGTAAGACGCTGGAAATATATTTTTCCCCCAATAGTAGTTAAAGATGATTATGGTACAAAATGGAGACGTCTAATGGTTGCTGCTGCATTTGATGGCAACTTAAAAGTGCTCTTGATTTTGAACAGATTGGTGGTCATCATAGCCAGGCAGACTTTGCAGTGAGAGGCAAGGAGCCTAAAGACGAAGTCCAAATATATACTTGGATGGATGCTACACTTCGTGAGCTAACTGATCTGGTATGTCAAATGATCTTCGTTACTTTCTGCATACATTTATTTCAAAATTTATGTTTAAGAATCCAATCAGAAGTGTGTTGCATGTTCTTTTTGCCACTTGGACATGCGTATCAGCTTAAAATTTTCCATTTGTTGAACTTAGTGAAGTTGCTAAGGACTTTTTTCCTAGTATAGTTAAGGAAATGAAAATTTCTTTTACATAAAATCTGAACTATTTTCAGGCTTTTTTTTTTTGCATTTAGTGGAATAGTAGTTGTGAAGTCAAGCAGCTACTTGTTTGTGCTATTCCCAATCGGTGTAAATAGTATTACACCATCTTTTTTCAGCGTATCTTTGTTTTCATTTTTCTATGCGGGTCTCTTATCAACTCTACATGTGGTATTGATTTTTTCATCTATTTTTCTTTCTGCTTTCTAGGTAAAAGAGGTGGCTCCAGAAGCTAGAAGAAGAGATGCTTTACTGTCATTTGCTTTTGTATATCCTACTAAAACTGGTCATTTTACAGTCAAAGAGGTAACCAGCTCTCCTTATCCACATGTATATTTAGAATCATACCTATACTTATCTTATAAAGCATTTGGCTAAAACTCTTAAAACTCTTAAACTTGTTCATCCCTAAACGATTTCATCCCTATCCAATTTCATCCCATATCTGAATTCGTGTAACTAACTGCAGATAAACACAATCAAATACAGGATAAACATTTCATTTTAAATATAAAAAATCTAAAATATAATTAGTATAATCATTAAATTCTAACAAAATACTTAATTATTATCTTTATAAAATTTATAATATTAAACCAAAAATAAAT